ATGTAAACACCTGATGTTTCTCTATTCTTAGCACCCAGCAGAAGATACAGAATAGACAATCGGTAAACGTTTGTTGGATGAGTGAATGAATTGGCAAATGATCCCTGCAGAGTGACATCAGCATCTGAAGCATCTGAAGTTTTTGCTTTAAAATCATGAGGCAACTTTTCTATCTCAGAGGGGCAGGTGAGCACATTTGCAACTCTAGATAATTTTGGAACCTGGTGTGTTAAGTAGAAACACTCCTGGATGCCAGTCCGACTGTGGACCTCCTCTTTATTGTACTGCCTGGAGCCTTATGTGAAAGAATTGAGCAGGAAATAATGCCATGCCAGGTTAGGGGATGTCCACCATGGGCACAAGAGGGTGTCATAACAATGCATGTGTCTCTTTCCACACTGTCTCCACAAGTCAGAACTAATAAAACCCTGTTTCTCTGGACAGACCCAGATGACCCCAGCTGTTCTGAAACACCATCTCCTATTTGTCTCATCTTCCTTGTACCTGAAGCAGATTTTCTGAATGAGTTGGAATTTAAAACTACAGTGAGTCTGCCTGGGTACTGGAGCTCCTTTCTGAAACATGCTAGATGGAATTGTAGGGGATGACTCACACAGACTGAGTACTCCCTACCCGTCTGAACACGCTGAGTGTGGCCTGACATCGGGATTCCCAAAGAAAAATTTAAAAGGTCAGCCGGGAACTATAAGTGGAGTCAATCAGGAAGGAATGCCTTGGAAGGCGTGATCTCGCAAACCTATTCATGCAAAACACCCTAAGGTGAGTGGCCAAGAATATTTGTGAATCAAGGACATACTTTCCCAAAGGGGTCCTCTCCCTGGAATTGTACCACAAGGTAAGAGGGAGCGCCTATTCTCACCTGTTTGCCAGTCTTCAAGGTGGCAACTCGCCTCACACTCCCAGGCCAGACCACTGTCTGATGAGAACAACCCATTCAAAGAGATTAACTAGAGGGCAAGGAACCTAAGAATTAAGTGACCCACATTTTGGGGTGTGTATGTGTGTGCGTGTGTGTGTGTGTGTGTGTGTTGTTCCCCTAATTCTAAAACCGTCTGTTTCCTCTGCTCCAGTAGTATAATTAGAACTCTGATTATAACATCAGATGGATAAACGAGTTGTTTATGTGTTTAAGACCCATTATCTCTTGCCTTCAATAGTAGACGAGTTGTTCATGTGTTTAAGACCCAATATCCCTGCCCTCAGTAGTAGAATCTATTTAGTTACCCTTAGCAGTTCTCCCTTGCCATGGACAAACTGCTTCACATAGAGCCTTGGGGGAAAGCAAGATAGAAAAGGACGATTAGAATCAGAAACATCTCATCTCTGGCTATTTTAGATGGCTTGCAGCCAATCTGTTGGTAGCCCAGTATCTTTTCTAAAAATTGGAATCTGGATTTAGATACTGATAGGTTTCAAGAATCACATAATTTCAGAGTTGGAAGACATCCAGATATCTCACCAACTATCTTGATACTTATAAAATTTTAAAGAAACTGATAGGCCCAGCAATTGCCTCTGCTCCATGAAGAAAGCTCATGGAGTGCTGGCACTGAAAAAAAAAGCAAAAACAAACAAACAGCACCTAATGATGCAATACTTTAGAGCTCTCACAACTGTCTTCAGAGTATAAGGAATATAGAGTTTCAAGTGGCATAGAATTGGCCACTTGAAACAAGGGAAGATGCAAAACGTGTTGGCAGGAACTGGAGAAATGTTTTTAAAATTGATACAATGACAGTTTTGTCAGGCTCACTAAAAGAAGAAACTGATAAAGAATGCTTTTAAAACAACATCCAGCTTTACATTCAGTCTAAAAGACAGGTATTGAAATGTATCAAGCAAGGGGACAATGCAGGGACAGTGAGTTCATTTGCCTGACAGGATACTTTGCATTTTCACTCCTAGGAGTGAGCCACGAAAGCCTGACAAATGACTCTTAAAGAAAAACAAACGTAAAGGCGGCTTAGGAAATACTCCAACCTTGAGCTAGCCAATTTCTAAATCATGTTACAGAAGTTTCCGGAAGAATCGAGCATTCCAGAAAATACCATCATAAATCACACATTTCCCCCTTCTGGAATATGTGCAAAAACAAGCCTTTCTTCCACAGGAAAATGGTGTTGGTGTGGGACATCTACTCACGGCATCCAGGAAGCAGATCTAGCAGCCATGAGGTGGAGAATCACCCGGCAGGAAGGCCGGTGCTCAGCTCCCCAGCATGGTGCCCCACCATCACGTGGCACCTCCCACAGTCCCTGGTCAGCGGCTGTGATCTGTCTTCTCCATTTTTGAAATGGAAGGTCCAAGGGGCCCAGTGAGAACTCACTGCCTGTTGTGAGAAGCCGATCTGAGAACTGTAAAGTTGCCCACAGTTTCAAGGCTTGTGTAAGTCTGTGATTCACTCCACTATGGGTCCATGAAGCACGCCTAAGAGAAATTACAGGTTTCTCCTGTCTGAAGCAGATCCATTAAAGTGAGTCATCTGTTTGTCTTTCAGTTCTCCATCCTTATCTCAGATGATCGCATGAGACTCTGCTTGCATCTGCTGCGCTGGGGTAATTGGAACGAGGGTGATAAAATGCAAGGTTATGCCACTACTCTTGATGATTTTTAAAGGCTGATACTTTTTTTGTCTTTTTGCCTGTTCTGATGTTGAACTTGGAGGAAATTGGCTGACAAACTGATGCATAAGTTGTGATCCAATTCCTAACCAAGCAACAGAGAGATTTCTGTTTTATTTTTGCAATGACCGGGACAAGGAGTTCTTACTGAGCCACTACATGGCTGTGGTAACTCAGACACAGAAGGCACTGTGGGGAACGCACACAATTTGACTTTAGACAGGGGAGTTGGTTTGCATTGTTCTGCTCACCACCAAACAGTCCCACACACTCCAATTCTACTGTTGTCTACTCACAGGTTTCTTCCCCGCAGAGATCTAAAGCAAACCCTCATTTAGATATTTCCAGGGGAAATGTGAACAGTAAGGAGAGGTAAGTGAGGAGGCAGTTTCGTTATGGGTTTTATAGCAATGAAGGTCAAGGAGGTGCTGTTTATGGAAATGGGTCAGTTCCATTTAGGTCAGTAGTTAAGAAGAACTGGCTCATTTGGGAAGTGGAAAAGCCAATATCAAGCCATTGTGTAATCAAAGGACTTTTTATTGCACATATTTACCAAACATATTCTATGTACAAGACACCATGATCTGCACTATGGGCATACAAAAGTGAGTAACATACTGAGTAACAAAAGTGAATAACCCCATTCCCCAAAACATAGACATACGCACACAAAAAGACCAAAAGGAAATAAACAATACAACACAGTAAATACAAAAGTAAAGTGAAGGACACAGATTATTAAATTACAGGAAATCAGGTGGGGAGAATCAGCACTTCTGGTTGGATCAATCAGGGAAGACTTCTCGAAGAAGGCGGAAAGTGAGGGCGAGCTCAGGCACACATGCAGTGAGCACAGCTCTGTGATGTGTACTCTTTCCTGGCCAGGGAACTGTGTATTATGACCACAGTCATGAATGAAAAGATTTTTCAATGGTAAGCTCAACAAGTTTTGCTGACTGATACCCCTAATGTCGAACAGACCAAATCAAATGCTTAACTCTTTAATTCGGAAGTCAATGAACTAGTTCCCATGAAGGTGCCTACAGCCAAAATTATGCATGGAGGCATGGCTGTGTTTTTGCTTGTGTTTGTGTGTGGGTGGGTGGGTTCATATATTCGCAGGACTCTAATTAAAAAAAAACAAAAACTAACATTTGAATTTGAATGAGCAATTATTATGTGCCAAGTACTATACTACTTTAGCTACATTTATCCACTTAAAGTCTAAAGAATTGAAATGGCTTTCCCAAGAATCATTATATATTAAGTCTGATACTTACAAATCTGCCTTGGACACTATCAGTATCAATTTCTCCTAGGGTCACCTGACCAAATCACTTTGTTGGTGAGGTGTCAGCAGGAAACTGAATGTGTCTCTACCCAGGGTCATCCAGAGTCAAACTAATCCATACAGTTCCTTGACATTTTTCAAGATGGTGTAGAGTGGGCTTTGGGATGCAGGAGAGAGGGCATAGCTTCTTCCAGGAATTCCCAAATAATTCCAGAGTTTTTCTCTCAGTATCCTGGGGGCTTTTTGGTTAATGATGAGGCTAAGGTGGGGTGTCTTTCCCATCATCCTGTCTCGGGGAGTGAGTATAGCTGAGTAGTGAGTACTTCCATAGTAGATGTGACTGCTCAAGGCACAAAGCAAATGAGAGGCAAATCCCTCCCTCTCTCCCTAGTGCTCAGAGCTGTTATCTGTGAAATGAGGTAATTGGAGTTAGTCTTTTATAAAATTTGTCCAGATTTACCATCCTATACCTATATTTGCTTCATGAAATTCCATTTTCACTTCAATATATGGACTCTGGGTAAGTGACATTTCTTTGTACCTAGGCCTGCACTGAGAAAAACCAGGACTATGTCTTTCTCACCCCTTCTCTTGAAAAGAATATACAAATATATTGGTGAATGGTAAATTAAAACCACTCTCTGACTTTATTTGTGAAGGATGCTTTTGTTGTCCCAAGATAAGCAATGCCATTTGAAAAATGACTCTTTCTCCAGGTTGATGCATTTTTTTAAACTTCAGATTGATGCTTTTCGTCTGCTCAAACTTTCCTACTTTAGGAAGATAATTTGTAATAAGAAAGAAAAGAAAAGAGAAAAGGAAAGAAAGAAGAAAGAAAGAAAAGAAAGGAAGGAAGGAAGGAAGGAAAGAAAGAAAGAAAGAAAGAAAGAAAGAAAGAAAGAAAGAAAGAAAGAGAAAGAAAGAAAAGAAAAGAAAAGAAAAAAGAAAGAAAGAAAGAAAGAAAGAGAAAGAAAGAGAGAGAGAGAAAGAAAGAAAAAGAAAGAAAAAGAGAGAGAGAGGGAGAGGGAGGGAGGGAAGGAAGGAAAGGAAAGGAAAGAGAGAGAGGGAGGGGGGAAGGAAGGAAGGAAAGAAGGAAGGAAGGAAGGAACTGCACTCATACATAAAGTAAGCCCCACTTTCTCCTTTGTAATGAAACATCATTAATACTGACTTCTTGTTGGGATAATTAGAGGCTGCCCATTGCCCCTTTGCCTTTATCCGCTAGTTAGATGCTGCTGCCGTCATCTGTGTCCTTGCTTTGTAAAGAGGCTTTTTTTTTCTCAAAGAGCTTCTACCTACAATACTGTTCTATCAGGTAACACCTGGTTTGAATGTTGAATTTGTTTACATACAAGTTAAGAAAATGAGCAGCTCTGAATTGGAAAGGTGATATTTCCTCTCTCCAATCCCAGGTATCAAAAAAGCATATTGTTGGTGAGGATTGATCTTACATTTTCAGTGTAGGCAGAAGATCTTTCAGTGGCTACACAGTCTTGAAGAGGAAGTGCAGGGCTAGGAGCCAGCAGACTTGGGTTTCTACCTCTGGCTCAGTCCTTGATTAGCATTGACTCACAACTCCAGGCTTTCATCTCCTTAACTGAAAATAGTCATCTTTCTGTCTCAAAAACTCTATGCTTTTCCCCTTGGTTCATGGCCAAGGAAGTTGTATCTAAGCCCACACCAGGTTGACCATCCAATCTATTTAAATTTGAAAAAGTAGAATATACTGGCAGTGGATTCCTTTTGGGAAAAAAAAAAAAAAAAATCAGCAATGACCTAGTTAGAATCAGCCCAACTCTTTGTGACTATTCATGAGGCTCCTCCCTCAGCAACACACAGAATCCAGCCAGGTGAAATCCCAGGCCGCCTTTCCCAAGATGAGACAGAGCTTGCTTTCCAAAGACAAATGTGACCCAACAGCAAAGAGGTGGAAAAGCCCCAACAAAAACCACGGTGGTGACCCCCTTTGTCTTTTTGTTTGCTGTGGCTGCTCAGCATGACGTATATGTAGCTATGTACAGTTGATGGATGAGAAACATTTAGTAGCACAGAACAGCTTAGACAGAGGAGGCTTTCATCCTTTCTGTACATCACGCCCTCCTCCATCAGCACCACATGTGTGAGCTTCCTACATATTCTCCAGAGGCAAGAAGACAGGAATGAGCACATTTCTCCTTTGGGCTCTGCCATTCCTGGAATATACAACCTTGTCAAGAACAGAAGATCACAGCTTTCATGTACAAGTAGCAAGATTCATAGGCTTTATAACATCTGCATGATAAGCTCACTGTCTTGAATAATGAGCCCATGTGGGTACATCCCTTATGGCCGATGGAGAGTCTTCTCCCTTTAAGCCACTTTGGAATCCAGAGAACAGTCTTTTCTGTTGCCCACAAATGCTGAATTACACACCTTGTCTTTCTCTAAGCTGGACCACCTCCTTTTCATTGTAACACGTCTTGAAAAAGACCCATTTTTCATACAAGGCACTGAACTGCTGCAGAAAGCCACAAACGCTGCTGGAGCCTGGATGTGTTGGGATGAGGGATGGGAGGCCCTCTCTACATAGCTGAGTGCATCTGTCTCTGTTTCTGTCTCTGTCATGCTGTATGTGTCTCTGTGAGTCAATCTCTCTGTTTTTGTTTTTGTTTTTTGTTTTGTTTTGTTTTGTTTTTCTGCATTTCTCTGGGTCTCCCAATGCATCTCTTATCCCTTCCCTGCATCTCTCTGTCTCTTATTATGAATGTGGGTATTTCAGTGTGGGTTCCTCTGTCTTCCTCTCTTTTCTGTCTCCAGATCCAGAGGGACATCGAGACACAGGATTGGAAGACTTGTGTCTGCACGTGTCCTGGTATCTACGTGGCTCTCTTCTAGTCATGAGTCACCATGTCCCTCTGTCTTTATGTATCTGAATTTCTGTTTTCCCTTATGGCTCCTTCCTCTACTTCTGTTTTTCTATATATCTTTGTCTCTCTCTAAGATCTCAAATGTAAATAAACTTCTCCATCATCCCTGAGGCCTCTCACAGATATTGTTTATCATACCTTGATCTTTTCATGCTAGGGAAAAGAAACGGGCCACAATGGGAAATTTGGGGATACTGCTGATGTCATATAGGATGTCCTGGGATAGAGAACTAGATAGAAGATTAAAGAGAGGGAGCAGTTAAGTAGAGCAAGCAGCTCTCCTCACTCCCATCTAAAAGTCACCCAGGCTAATTTAAAAGCATTTTCAGACATGCCTGCTTAATTTTCGGGGCCAAAAAAATTTCAGTAGCCTAAGAATTTGAAGTGTGAATATATTTCCAACCATAGCTAGGTGAGAATAGACTGTATAGGAGAATCCTTTTAATGAAGAAAAAATCATTTCCAATTATAATTAATCAAATTGCAATTTTAAAAGAAATGTCACATATATGACATATATGGGAATCCCTTGCTTTGCACTCACCTCCCAGGTTAGGAATGTAGCCTGGTTTCTTAACTTGGGCCTTTGATGGGATGACAAGATAATTCAGAAGAAGCCTTCTGTTGAAGACAAAGTATAATTGCATTTATTAAATATCATTATTAGTCTGTTTTCAATTATCACAATTATTCAAAGCACCTGGGAAATTGTGATCCACAGTAATTCCTTTTACTCCTTCACTTTATTCCTCTCCTCTCCTTTTCTTTTTTTTTTTTTTTTTTTTTTTCAAGACAGAGTCTCACTCTCTCGTCCAGGCTGGAGTGCAGTGGCACGATCTCAGCTAACTGCAACTTCTGCCTCCCGGGTTCAAGCAATTCTCCTGCCTCAGCCTCCTGAGTAACTGGGACTACAGGCATGTGCCACCACAGCCAGCTAATTTTTGTATTTTTAGTAGAGATGGGGATTCACAGGTTGACCAGGATGGTTTCCATCTCTTGACCTCATGATCTGCCCACCTCGGCCTCCCAAAGTGCTGGGATTACAGGTGTGAGCCACTGCGCCCGGCTCCCTTCTCCCCTTTTTTGTATTGGAACCACTGACAACATAGGAACCGACTGCTGTGAGAGATCCTCCTCCTCCTTGGCCTGACCTGGCTCCACCTACTGAAGGAGCCCCAAATTTGGGAAGGTCGTAGATAGTGGAGAAGACATTGAGTGGCATGGAGAGAGAGAGATAGACAGCAAAATGGCTCCAAGCTCTCAAACAGCTCTCTCAGCTGGTCTGCTGAAATCCTCAGTGTTAAAGCCATCCCCTTGTAATGCACCTGTCTCCAAAGGATGTCCTTGTGTTTTAGGAATGTGTTGCCTAAGATAGGTAATACATTAACTCACTGGTAGAATTACTACCACATAAACATAGGCTAATTCATCACATCAGATATCAAATGCACACAGACAAGCAAATTTATTATGCTGGGTTTGGGAAGCAGGACTGACACTACTCATGGGAAGCCATGAGGAGGGGAGTTGAATCTCGACTACAGAAGATTGCTACCTAGGGATTAGAGGCCTGCAAAGCAGAAGAGGAGAGCACAGATGAGACACCTACTTGTCCTCTGAGCAGAGTTGACAAAACTAATTGCAGGCAGTGGCCTAAAGTTAGTGAGCAAGAAATGAAGGGGGAATTGCAAGAAATTAGGATAAATTTACATAGTACCTAGGCCAGTGATTGTTAACCCAGGTAGCACATTAGAATCACTGGGGAGCTTTAAAAAATGCTTAGGCCCTGCCTCTAAGAGTTTCTGATTTAATTTTTCTTGATTAGGGCCTGAAAAGTGTTTGTTGTTGTTGTTGTTGTGTTGTTGTTGTTGTTGTTGTTATTGTTGTTGTTGTTTTGAGACGGTGTCTTGCTCTGTCACCCAGGCTGGAGTACAGTGGCACAATCTAGGGCTCACTGCAACTTCTTCGCCTCCTGAGTTCAAGCAATTCTCCTGCCTCAGCCTCCCGAGTAGCTGGGACTACAGGCATGTGCCATCTGGCTAATTTTTGTATTTTTAGTAGAGATGGGGTTTCACCATGTTAGCCAGGATGGTCTCGAACTCCTGACCTCAGGCAATCCACCCGCCTCAGCCTCCCAAAGTGCTGGGATTATAGGCGTGAGCCACTGTGCCCTGAAGTGGTATATTTTTAAAGCTTTCTAGGTGTTTCTAAGGTACAGCCAGCATCAAAAACCACTGATTCAATCGATAACTACTCATAAAATGCTGGATATTATTTTGACTTACCAGTCAAATAAAACCACAAAGAGAAGTGGGAGAAATGACTAGGATTTTATAACACTGAAAGGCAGAATTTCTCTATGATGACCTGAATGGATTAATTCTGAAACACATAAGGAAAGGAGCAAAGCTAAATTGGAAGGGATTGAGAGAGTCAGGACTCTCCCTGAGAACACCACAGCAGACCAAAGTGAAGGAGGAGACTACTTACATCAGGGATGCCTGTTGGAGATGAATATTCACAATGCCAGGACACTTCAGGGAGACTTTAGATGAATGACCCTCAACCTTGACTGTACATTAGAATCACCTGGGGAGCTTTCAAAATCCCCAAATCCAAGCCACACTCCAGACCAATCAAATGAGAATCTCCAGGGGTGTGACCCAGGCAACCCCATTTTTTGAAGCTTCCCAGTTGATTCTAATGTATAGCCCAAGTTGAGAACCATTGCTTTAGATATTTATTAATGTCGTTTGCATTAAACTTTTCTCTTTTTTTTTTTTTTTTTAAGCTGAAAGGGGTACAGAGAAACCAGCAGATTCCCAGGTATGGAGACCAAAGACTAAAAACAAGACCAAAGGTTAGGTAAGAGTAAGGCAAACGAGAACAGAAAAAGAGAGGGAAGAAAAAGAAGAGAAGAGCAGGGCTTAAGAAATCTACAGAGAGGGAATGGAAAGGCAAGGAACGAGGATGGGGCAACGCTGCTCTCAGGGCTACAGGGTACCCAGCCCCATCAATTAGCCTCTCTCCGTGCAGATCCCCTAAAGCCCCAGTCCGTGACAGGGGATGTGGACCCCAGCAGACATTGGCGTGGGAGGCTCTAGATCACCTCCTCGCTTGTTGTGGGTGTATTCCTTGGGCCAACCCTGAATCTCCTTTTGCTGCCATTTAAAAGTTTTTTAAAAAATTGAGTGGCAGTTTTTCCCTCACTCAAAACAGTTCATGGCCCTCATTCTTTGCATAGCAATATATTGTTTCCAAGTCACAGGAATAGAAGATAAGTTAGAGGCCCTGTTATAGTCTAGCCTGCTGTCCAATGACTGAATCTTCTCTACAGCAACCCTGAGCAGGCCCCAAGCCCACTTAAGCCACTTCAGCAACCATGGCAACTGGCCCCTCTTGAGTAGTTCTTTGTGTAGGATCAGAATTAATTTCCCTGCAGTTTTTACACTTTGGATGTGGGTCAACTAATTGGAGTCATAGAGAACAAGTGAGATATCATGGGAACCTAAGACTTATTTCATTTCTTTCATCACCTGCTCTCCTACTATGTGGTTTGAGGTTCACCCTCCAACACCAGCCATCTTGTCACTCTCCTCTAAATTCATGTAACTCCACTTGCATCTCTTTGCATCCCCATATTCCAGAAAGAATCTGAACTGTTTAAGAGGCACCCAGCACTTCTGGGAAATCCACATTGCAAAGTGTTAAGGTGAGAGTGTTAGCAACACTCCATATGCCAGAAACTCTAAGATTGTTATCTTGTTAAACTTTTCAATGCAAAAATTAATATGAAAGCTTTACCTCTGATATTGTGGAGCTCCTTTTTGCAGAGGTTACTCGACCCTTTAAGGCTTCTCTTATCTGGATATTTAACAAAGAAGTTAAGAATTAGAAGATCATAAGAAGGTAACACATATGCTTGGACCTGGCTGATATCGTGGCCAGGTACTGTGTTAGCGGCTAGGTTCTATTGGAGGGATATGGAGGGATCAGCGACCCGGTGGAGTAGTCTTGGAAAAGGTGGAAAGATGGGGAGAGACAAGAGAGGTGGAGGTGGCACAGGATACTCACTTTCAGGGCCTTAAATATGGACCCAATGGTTGAGAAATACAGTTTGCCACAAGTTTGAGGATTCCTCAACATAGCTTCTTTTTTTTTCTTGAGACGTAGTCTCGCTCTGTTATCCAGGCTACAGTGCAGTGGGGCCGTCTCGGCCCACTGCAACCTCCACCTCCCGGGTTCAAGCAATTCTCCTGCCTTAGCTTCCCGAGTAGCTGGGATTACAGTCGTGTGCCACCATGCTTGGCTACTTTTTTTTTTGTATTTTTAGTAGAGACGGGATTTCACCACGTTACCCAGGATGATCTCAATCTCCTGACCTCATGATCTGCCTGCCTCAGCCTCCTAAAAGTGCTGGGATTACAGGCATAAGCCACCTCACCTGGCCTAGCTTTGGCATTATTTTTATGGAGCACTTATGTAATCACTTCTCACAATTTGTCAATTATTCAAACGACCTTTTCTAGAGGAAGAAAGTACTATACGACTGGGTATGGTGGCTCATGCCTGTAATCCCAGCACTTTGGGAGGCCAAGGCAGGTGGATCACTTGAGGTCAGGAGTTCGAGACCAGGCTGGTCAACATAGTGAAACCCCCTCTCTACTAAAAATACAAAAATTAGCTGGGCGTGGTGATGGGCACCTGTAACCCCAGCTACTCAAAAGGCTGAGGCAGGAGAATCGCTTGAATCCAGGAGGTGGAGGTTGCAGTGAGCTGAGATCACGACAGTGCACTCCAGCCTTGGCAACAGAGTGACACCCCATCTCAAAGAAAAAAGTACTATACAACATAGCAACAGCCCATGAAATTCATCTTCCCTGACTAGGTCATCCTGTCCTTTTCTCTAAGTCTTGCCTGCTGAATACAGGCCCTCTTCTTATTTCTGCTATACAAAATATTATTCACCTTCCGAGGCCTTATAGAAGTTCTGTGTTCACAATCCATATATGCCAAAGCCCTCCAGCTCAGGGTAGCTTCGCCTTTCCCTGCAGATGCCGTATTCTTTGTCACACACAGACCTCAAACCACCCGTCAGGGATGGAGGACGGTGTGCTCAAGGGCCCACTGGAATTTGTAAGATACGTTGGCACTTCTACTTACATTTCTTTGTTCTCACCCTTTTTCACTCTTAGGTTTCATAATGTACGTAACACTTTTTAAGTTAATAATGAACACATCTAGGGATATGTGCTCACTGTGTTTTACTAATCCTAAAAGTTTAAAGACTACTGGTATATACAACTTTTGGTCAATGAATCGTGTATGGTCCTGTGACACTTTTGAGTATTTACCTTTCATATCATCATTGTAAAGGTAAGAGGTTTTGATCTTGATAGAAGTTTCCATGGCTTGGAGTTCTTTGCACATCTCACCTAACACTGGTAAACTAAGTAAAAATGCAGCTGCTGGTACTCTGGCTACAGATACTAGTTGTGGTTTTACAGATAATAGAAACATAATCCTGTGGCATATGACTGGGCAGTACCTTAAGTGCTTTGTGTTTTTACCTACAAAATTGCATTTGTTCTTTGCCATAATCAAATGGAGAAGGCAGAGAAAATATTATTATCTCTGCATCATCCCAACTGGCTCTGTCGCCAGGCTGGAGTACAGCGGGGTGATCTTGACTCACTGCAACCTCTACCTCCCGGGTTCAAGAAATTTCCCTGCCTCAGTCTCCTGAGTAGCTCAGACTACAGGCACATGCCACCATGCCTGGCTATGTTTTTGTATTTTTTAGTAGAGACGGGGTTTCACCACGTTGGCCAGGATGGTCTCTATCTCCTGACCTTTTAACAAACCTTTGATATTAATTTAATAGAATATTACTGGCAGTAGGCTGGATGCAGTAGCTCATTCCTATAATCCCTGCACTTTGGGAGGCCAAGATGAGTATATCCCTTGAGCTCAGGAGTTCGAGACCAACCTGGGCAGCATAGGGAGACCCCATCTCTACAAAAACTTTTAAAAATTAGCTGGGTGTGGTGGCATGTGTCTGTAGTTCCAGCTACTCAGGAGGCTGTGATGAGAGGATCATCTGAGCCCAAGAGGTGGAGGCTGCCGTGAGCCATGATGGTGCCACTGCACTCCAGTCAGAGTAATAGAGTGAAAGTTTGTCTCAAAAAAAAAAAAAAAAATTAACATGTCCTTTTCTCTAAGTCTTGCCAGCTGAATTCAGGTGCTCTTCTTATTTAGTAAACAATAAATAAATAAGTAAAAAATAAATAGTAAAACATAAATAAATAAGCAAACAAACAAGAAACTCTGCAGTGAAGGTGGGGTGCTTGGGGGAAGGAGTGGATTACGTTTTTGTTTGTTTGGGGTTTTTGGTTTGGTTTTGTAAATCCAACCTGGTACTGTTCCTTTTTATTTTTATTTATTTATTTACTTTAATTGACAGAAGGGGTTTGCATTTATATCTGAGAGGGTTGTTTGCTTTACTTTTTCCAGAAGGTAGTATGGTACAATGGAAAGAGTGTGGTTTTAGAAGGCTGAATAAACATTTGAGGGGTTGTTCCTTTACTTGGTTTTTATTTGTTTTCAATGCTCATCCCTTTCAAGACTCATCTGTATTTGAAGAGTTTCTTTTCTTGACTCCACTGCTGTTCAAGATACAAGTAGGAACTCACACTTCCACCCAACCTTGCAGCTAAGACATGACCATGTGACCTGAACTCAGCCAATCAGACATGACAATGAATAAATGCGGGTGCTGGTGTACCAGACAGGCAGGGTGAGGTGATCTCCCAGGCAGCAGTAGCAGCAACTCGGGCTTAAGTGTTTACTGCCTGACATTGGCCTGGTGAGCTGTGCTATCTGTGCCCAGCAAAGCGGGGAAGAGCAATGGTATCTCTTGTGGAGCATTTCTGTGCTGTGCATTGGTAACTATTCCTGGAGCAGAGCCTCCAAAACTCCAAGCTGAAGAGACCCTCCCAAAGATAATACTGCAAGATTTAATAAGTTCCTTTTCTGCTTCAACTAATCAGAGTGCGTTTCTGTAGTGATCTTGAGCAAGCTGTTCACTCTGAGTCTCAGTTTCCTCATCTGTAAAATTGAAAATATCAATACCTACAATTGTTTTAAGAATCAGCACTAATGTACATAAAACATTCATTCCCATAAGAACTTGCAAGCTGGTCAATATCATTTGCATTGTAAAGAGCAGTGATCCAGGCTTCATACATCTGTACAAATGAATGAAGTGAGAGCTTTTCAATAAATAGCCTTTACAAGCCTTTACATGGCCAAGTACCGATAATACAGAAAAAGCAACAAGAAGAATTTACATTCAGTACCTTTGGATCCAGGATGGTTCCAAACACTAGGATGAAGAAGCCCTGGGAAATGCAGAAGAGGGAAGAAGAGTCATTTACAAAAGAATGATGATGATAAAACACACTCTCAGTTATTACCAATTCCTATTTTGATAAAAAGAAAACAATTTTATGAAATCTCTTAATTTATCATCCTTAGATCACAATACCTAGATTCATTCAATGAATATTGATGAGTGTCTTCCATATGCCAGTCACTGTAGAGGTACCTCAGTAAACCAAAGAGACCAAGGTCCCTACATCATACAGGAATATTTTTAAACTTTCCTTTTAAGTTGGGCAAATTAAAAGTGTTTGCACTTAGCAGGAGCTGGGCCTCTCAACTGAATATAATGATCCAAGAAAGAGTCAGAGGAGGTGTTGGGCAACGAATGCAGGCTTGCCGTCCTTGAACAGTAAGTAGGAGAAGCCTTCCACAGAAAAGAGCAGAAACAGCTGTTGCTCAACTTCCCATAACACCTTCAACCTCCTTCCTCATCCACTACAAAGAATATTATAAAACTTGCAAAGAAAAGTCAAGTGTATACATCCTCAAAAACTTAATGACTTTAAATAGATTGAGTTTCTAAGCACATGACAAGTATTCCCAATATGATGATGTAGAAGGAATTAATTAGCTTTTATATCTTTTATTTTCCATATCAAACAAAAAACCCCGTATAAAACCCAAAACAGTCTGTTCCTCTATAGCTATAGTCCATTTGAAGTTTTTACTTCTGTTTCACATACATTGATACAAAACCCCCCTTGAGGAAAGAATGGCAAGTTGTAGTTCCATTTTCCAGTTAAGGAAAAGGAAGCTGAGATTCAGCATTCAAAATGTGATAGACAGGAACATTCATTAGACAACAATTTCTCTTAAATGTGCAGTTTCTCCATCCATGGCTCACCTGAAAAGGGAGGTTAGATAATGACCTTTTATTTAGGAATACCCATGCTAAGCTGCTCTGACTTCACAAGTGAGTGTGAACTCTTACCTGAACTCTTACCTACCCAGAGGCCTGTTAACGGGCATGGGTTTTATACAGCTGGCACCATAAAGATGTTACAACCTGGTATTCATCACTGAGAACAATACCAAATCTGCCACTATTTGGTAAAAGCCCAGATGAGAGGTGGAGAACTTTACAGGGACCAGTGTATATCCTTGCAGCTAATCCAGTCCCCCAAACACATTAACATACACCTTCCTATTCAGCCAGTCCAACCCTCAAAAGCTTAATCTCCATGTAGCTTTTATGAGATTGTTCTTCTGTGTAACACTCTGAGCCTACAAGGTAATTATTGAAATCTCTTATTGTATCTGCTACAAAAAAAAATTATTGTTGTCATGGTCCATTATGTTGCAAAGTTATCATGCTTATAAGGCCCCATCTGACAAATATATTCCAGCCTGATTTTGGTACTAGGAATACATTTCAAGTCAGGATCTCCATTAATTTGGCCCAGGAATTATATTTTTTAAAGATCTGGGAACCACAATGCTAGCATGCTTTTTTCTACAAATATGCTGATGGTTAATATTCTTTGGCTAAAGAACTAAGAGGAATTTCTCTCCTTATAGGATTTTTAATTCCTTGGGGTTGGTCTATCTATATTTGTATCTGCAACATTAAGCATAATGCTTGGCACAAAATAAGTAGTAAATGTGGTGTCTCTTCATTTGAGTGTATGTATGTGTTTAATTTCTTTATTATGCAACCTGCACTTTTATAGTCATGTCACATGACTATAAACATGACTTTAACATGACTTTACAAACATGTATCAGGGAAATACTCCACTAGGATCACTTTTCGTTGGCCCACGCGTGCCACCTTAGATAAAGTTATGCAAAGCATCTTTCAGAAGATTTGGATTAAAAGATTGGCCATAAAGTTTGGTATCTGGTTGAGAAGGGAAGAAAGAATATACCTAACAAACAATTCACCAGTAGCATTTCTTTTAGTAGGTAAAGCACAGTTTGGACAGGTAACTCTCAAGGTGTTCTCCCAGGGTTTGGTATATGTGCTTTATTTTTTCCCACCAAAATGGCTATGAGGGAGTCCCAAAAACTCACCCAGCCCACAATCACTCTCAGTAAATACAACCAGAAGTTATGGATGGACAAGGTGGGTAGTCGAGGCAGCAACTGACACCATAATAAAACCTCTCTAGTAAAGGGGATGGGTGAGTTTTAAAACTAGTGCAGGTATTCCCCTGGGGCTAAGACCAGGAAATCTTTACAAGAGTCTTCCTCCCACATCCTCTGGGCCTCTCAATATGTTTCAGAATCTCTCCCCTCTGTCTGTGCTCCATTAGCCTCTGCTGCTGCCCCTCATCTCATCCTAAGACTCCACTTCTGCTTTTTACACCCAGTTGGTTGTGTCTCCCATCTCAGTAGATCCATGGCTCCTCTCTCTCCTCCCTCAGAGGATGCCCTGATCCAGTGATATGCTAGTAAATGGCAATAAACTCTCCTTATTTGTAGTGTTTGCCAATCTCTATAGTTAATTACCCCCAACCATGGCCTATTTGAATCTTGCCCTGTGACATCGCTGAGCATGGATTTAGAAAGAGATAGGCAGTAGCACATCATTGTACAGATTTTCCACCATGCAGACACAATAGAGGCAAGTAACCTCAAGAGAAAAGGTAGACAAATAATTAGGAAGTGATGAGTTCTGAGGATACATGACCTTTACTTTTAACCCAATTTGTTTAATTGCAAGTCTATATGATTTAATTGTTATTGATGGCGGTGTTCACAGCCAGCTCAGAACAATCCTGGAAATATAATAGGCAGCTTCTGTGGGTCAATACAGGCCAGCACCAACACAGCACTGCCCAGTGCCCCCCACTGGCCTCACCAACACTTTGTTCTCATCTCCTCACTGCCCCGTCTGCACTGGCATTTAGGTAGGCCCCTCCCTGCTCCTTACTGGGATTCAAGGCAGAAATGAAATTGAAAGCACAAGTGATCCTACAATGACAGGTAAAGGTGCTCAAGATATCAAAATGCAAGTGCTCACAGCCTTGTCCAAAACAAAACTCACAGGGAAGACGGCCCTAAGGGAGACAAGAGAAGGAAAATACTGTGGAGTGAGTCATGAGCTCATGAGGGGTTTATGAAAAATAGGGTTTTTACCCAAGTCTTTTCAATGACTAGTTTTGTAAACATGCATAAAGCAACTGATAACTACCAAAAGCTATACAAATGTAGGATACAATTAATATTTTCTATAAAAGTGCAAAAAAAGTAGAGACTCAAAATATGAGATACCCCTATTGTTATTAACTTTGTTCTTCAAGACATCAAAGTGTTTATTATAAAGTGAAATCATTTATACATAAATTCTGAAAAAGGAAAATGAGAAGACACTTGACTTAAGATATCTATTAGCAATTAGGTGAAGCATTTACTTGAAAATAGTCTTACTGGCTACCGCATACATTCAGAAAAAAAGATAATGTTTTAGATATCTTTAGAAAAATAAAAGCTTGCTTTTCAATTAGTTGCTATCTACATATTAGCATTCAATATAATAAACTTTGGATCATTCACACACTATAACATTAAAAAATGGAAAAAAAATTTCAATCAAGAAGGAAATTATTGAATATGCAATGCTATGCAGCCATTAGAGACATATTCATACATAATGAGCTGGTAAAATTCTAGCGCATATTTTTAAGTGCAAAAGCAAGTTACACAATCATATACCTTGTTTTAACCCCTGTGTTATGTGAAAATATATTTGTATGAGCATAGAAATTTTGGCAAAGGATGCACATGAAACTGTGAACATTGCTTAATTCATCTAAGTGTGGTAAGAGAAGAAAGGAGAAACGATCTTCGATACTTTTTCTGTATAGCTTGCCATGTTAAAATAAGATGGTTTCCAATGGTAGCTAAAAATTCTAAGTGGAAGGAAATGTAATAAATGTGCAAACTTTAATACCTCCAGTTATATACCTAAATTTTGGGGAGGGTGTTATTGCTTAATTTTTAAACCATAACAACTTAGCCTGTTACTAGGTTGTCTATGGTCTTAAGATCATTTTAGTACTTGATCCTTTCCCATTCACCATTTAATTTCATTTTCCAAACACTCTTATAAAGTGGACAGTATTGCACTCATTTTATATGTGAGGAAAATATAGCTCGAAAAAGTTGAGTAAATATCCCAAGATCATGTTATACATTATTAGTAAATGAAAGAGTCAGGATCCAAATCCAGGTCTCTCTGGAACAAAAGTTTATTTCCCCACTCCATATGCTATTCCGAATCCACTGGCTTTTACATAGAAATTTAATGCCACAAGCTCCTAATCACAGAACATCTTCATGAATTCTCTCACTTTGGACTTGGTCAGAAGCATCTGGACTTACCTGGAATGCATTGAGCAGGGAGAAGATAATGTGGAAGGCCAGGGATCTGTCATTGATGACGGTGGCTACTCCAAATCCCCAGGTCAGTCCCAGAAGTGGTGTGAGGATGGCAATGTTCTTGCTGATTCTCACAATGGCTCTCACTTCCTGGAACATGGAATTGCTGATGGCAGGTCGCTGGGTCTTGACAATCACCAGTGTGACTGTGATCAGGTTTACTACCACGATGGCCAAAGCTGGGACCACGAAGGCCAGGAGGGCTCTGGTCATATCCCAGTTGAGCCAGCAGGCCTCAGGTCGTAGGTAGCCTTTGCCAGGTTCAGTGGCAGCAACCGTGATGGCAGCAATGACCAAAGGGCATCCATAGCCCACTGAAAACAGAGATGCCACCAGGACCGACTTGGGCAAGGTATGGAAAACAATCATGATTCCATAGAGGATAAGGAGTGCCTTGGCAAACATCCAGAAAAATACAGAAAGGTAAAAGAGATGAACAAAAAATGTGGCTGCCACACATCCCTTGTGGTGTGTTATTGGACCACTAAGAAAGGAAGCTACAATGAACCACACATCAGCCATCAGCAAAGTGGCTGCAATGTTAACAATGCACACATGGCGTAAATAGGTGATCTCTGTCTTTGTCACTTGGCTCCAGACTAGGACCTCAATGGACAAGCAAAGGATCAGGCTGCAAATAGAAATGCCCAGGCCTATATATGTGATATAAGTCAGGATCAGACTCTCTAAGATGTGAGGTGACATAAGAATTGAGAAAGAGGTAAACAACTTGCTTGGCCTACATTTGCAAACAGCTTGCTGGGAGTTTTCTTGAATCATTTTGCAGGCCTGCTGGTCCCATCTGTTCTCCACAGAGTGCCAGCCAACACACTGTGTCCTCCTCTCCTCTGACTTGCTGATCTTTTCAAAAATCAGTGAGATTCTTTTAAGTTCCTTGGGCAAAATGACAGACAGGACAAGCCCATTTATAGTAACATTTTCCAAAAGACTGGCTTCCAAAATAGCCCCAATAGTTGGAAATGCAATGCTGATGACCTGAGAAGGGGAAGGCACCTTCCAAAGTTCATCTCTGCTGATCAACACTCTCCCAGTGACTTCATTGCTGGTATCATTAACTCTCATCGAAAAAGTGAAATTTTTTCCAATGTTATCTCCAGATATGGTGGTGCCCATAGTATGAATGAAGACATCTGGTATGTCAACGGGATATTTATCTATGAACAGCCTTCTTGCAAAGGAGTTGACTGAGTGTAGTAGGATATAGCTGCTGTTTCTGTCAGGAATGAAAGTCCAATTGGAGATGCTTTTGCTATTAAGAATGTGGTTGGCTATGGTGCTGTAACTCTGACAATAAAGAACCAGTGTTAGTACTGAGCCACTCTCTGAAACTGCCAGTGCATTCAACACTCACTTTTGTAAAGCGTGCTCCTCCAACCAGCAACCTAAGCATACTCTGGGAACTTCTTAGCAATATAGAATCTCAGATCCCACCCCAGATTTAATGAATCAGAATCTGCATCTTAATAAGATCCCCAGGTGACTTGCATGTACACTGAAGTTTGACTTAGATGATAGAGCTACAAAGGAATTGCCTCACCATGCCCTCCTCCATTTATGCAATGGCCTTCTGCGAGCCAGGCCACTGGGCAGCTTTCCACATGCTCCTGTCCATCATTCCCTCCACATCACACCTAGGCAAAACTAGCAACTTGCTTACCCTGCTCAGAGAACCCATCATGTGTTTAACCTCTGTTGCATCCCAAATGTGTTGCAGGGCCCTATACAAGAACGTAATAAATTGGAAATTCACCCTGGAGTCTGAATCTGCTTTTTATTATCTTTGCTTTGAAGATCAAAACTAAGCAAAATGGACCCAGTTCTATTTCATGTTTCTGCAATGGATAGGTATGGCTGTGTGTGGTTTTTTTTTTTTTTTTTTTTTTTGGTTTTTTTTTTTCATTCAATTATTTTCCATTTTAGCAACCTATCCTAACTCATAAATGAAAATAAGAAAAGTCTTTCTCTCTCCAAAACAGAATGTTTCTTAAATGTATTCAGTAGCCAAAAGATACATTGGTAAATCATACTCCAAAATTCACTACAGTACCAAGTAAGTGCTCTCTATAAATATTTGTTGATTAAATATGTTTACTTTTTCCATTCATTTATTCATCCTTTCTTTACTGAACACTTGCTTTGCTAGACATTAGAAATACTGATGTGAAAGAATGGTTCCTAGTCCCTAAGAAGCTCACATAATACTCGAACTAACCTGCATTCCTTTCCCACTGAGATAATGTTCTTCCAAGTATTCAGGGACACTCACCCGCATCTTTTCCTCATCAACACCTGTCCATAATGCTGTTGATATGTTGTGTAAGAGCTGCACAATTATGGCAATGTTTCCTGGTATCCGGGGTGACTGCTGAATGCCTCTAATTACACAAGACAAATCTGTGGGACACTTTTGTAGCAACATATCTGATATGGTCTCAGACTTTCCAGTATATACACTTATTTTTATATTGTCTTCAAATGGCTGAACCAAATGTGAATCCTCCTACGATATGGCAAAAAGAAAGAAATTTTTATTTTTATTTTTGTGTTAAACATAAAAGTACCTTTACTAAAACTTAGGACAGCCTAACATAATGTTTTTCTGTTTTACACTTTCAGAGTCACATCTGCTGTCAAATAACTTGACCAACACCGAGTTGCATAAACCAGCAAATAAAAGTCCCTACTTCCCATCTACCTATTCTTTAATCCCCCTCTCCCCAAATAACAACTGTTATCTTCAGCATATCACTTCAGATAACCTGTATATATAGAAATTTCTAGTACCATTTAAGCTTATTTGTAATATTTATGAAGGGCAAATCATGAGTGATGAGTCTATCTTAAAAATAGAAATTTGAAACTCGATTTGGATGAATCAACTGGAACACCAAGACTGAAAATAGCAATAGAAAGTATCTCCCATAGATTCAGACTCTGGTTCCCATACTCTAAGGCAGGGGTGGCAAACTATGGACCCAGACCGGCTGCCTGGCTTTTGCAAATAAGGTTTTACTGGAATGCAACCTGCCCGTTAATTTAAACACTATCCACAGCTGATTTCATGCTACAATGGTAGAGTCGAGTAGGCACGACAGAGACCATGTGACCCACAAAGCCTGAAATATTTCTGCCTGTCACTTTACAGAAGTTTACTAACCCTTGCTTTAGAGGACCCCCTTCTGGCCCTCCTGCAGCCTGCCCCTTCACATGGCCAGGAGTCCATGAGCACAAACTTTCACATACTCCAAGTTTAGAAGGCTATTTTTGCATAGAAAATGAGGCTAGTGGATGCTTATCTATTCACCCATCCCTACACGCTGCCCTGCCACATGCTCGTCCTCTCTCTTACTAAGGGTAATATCCACTGCCAAGGGGAGCCTCCACTGGGCTCATACAGTGCACATCAGAATCCATATTGCAAAGAAAAGATATTACCTCAAAGATGTTGACGGCATTAAGAGTCCGACAGGTGTCAGTGATCTTGTGCCATGTCTTTTTCCTGCATGAAAACCCCATATTTCCCTGAGTGTCTGGAGGGCAAGGTTGAGTACACTGGGAGTTGTCTGTACAGACACCATCGCATACACCTCGGAAAATGAAAGGAGACCGTATCAGATGGGAAGGTCTGGGCTCTGGGCCCATTGGGCCAGTCACCAAGGTGTCACTGCCAGTGACAGCACATAAATACTGAAGACATCAGTGTCTTCTCTTCCTAAAGTGGAGGAAGACTGAAATGGATCAGTGGTCATCATCTATTTTAGCAACAAAATGTTATTGTTTCCAACAAAATCTTATCCTGAACTGCAGTGTATAAAATAGATAAAAGTGGAACATGGCCAGGTACAGTGGCTCACACCTGTAATCCCAGCACTCTGGGAGGCCAAAGTGGGCAGATCACGAGGTCAGGAGTTTGAGACCAGCCTGGCCACATGGTGAAACTCCATCTCTACTAAAAATACAAAATATTAGCTGGGCATAGTGGCGTGTGCCTGTAATCCCAGCTACTCGGGAGGCTAAGGCAGGAGAACTGCTTAAATCCAGGACGCAGAGGTTGCAATGAGCTAAGATCGTGCCACTGCACTCCAGCCTGGGAGACAGAGTGAGACTGTCTAAAAAAACAACAACCGAAAAAATCTGGAACTGTCCCAGGTGAAGTGAGAGGGACAAACCCACAGTGCAGTCCACTAGGTCACTCTCACACCCTCACAGGAACCCCTGAATACTTCCTCAGACCCCTGAAGCTCCCCAGATCAGCTCTAGTTGGAATCCACTGCTTCCAATGTTTGCTAAGAAGTCTCTCAGCTCAGGAACTCTATAATATGTTATATCATCAATGACTTCTCACAGATCTATTCTAGCCACTGGACCAGTTTGAATGGGCTCAATCCAAAGGATCTATGGCAAAGAATTCTCAGACAAGGGTGGAGCAGAGGGTACTGGGAGGAGAGAGGAACAGGGTGGGGTGAAATGTACAATTTACTACCTGGTACTATGCTCACTGCCTGGGTGGGATCATTTGTACACCACACCCCAGTGACACGCAACTCGCCAGTGTAACAAACCTGCACGTGTACCCCCTAACGTAAACGCCAAAAAGAAAAAAAAGGCAAAGGTACAATTTAATATGAAGGAAATAATCAGAGTCCAAATGCAAGTCATCAAGGATTCCATCTGCCATGCCACAGGACAGAGGGCTGAGAATGGCTCTCTATTACAATAGATGGACAGCAAAACTTCCATGTGATAAGTAGCTGCTGCCAACATACCGTATGGCCTGGCAGGCACCTTCTCCTTGCTTTTGCTGGCAGCCTAGAAAGGGAAAATCAAAATTTGCATCAAAATCAATTGTTGGTATGCCAGCCCAACAGCTCACGTTAGTCACAAACAACCACAGTTAAATTAACTATGATACCAGCATGGCCCACCCAAAGCTGAGTCCATGAATTACGGCTCCTCCATGACCCCATTTTCCCTTCAGCCTGGACCACTTTCTCTCCCACTGCTACCCAGTAGGACCACTCCTCTCTCTCCAGTAAGAAGAGTCTATGTTCTATCCAGGAAACATGTTATGAGCAGAAGTGGATTGAGCAAGAAATTGACAAAGGTTAAGCCTCAGAGAGCCTTGCTCATATGGGACCTTTTGAAGCCCTGGGAAAGGATCTAGCAATGAGCAGATCATCTCATGTGTTCATGTGATCATATGTTTTATTAAATTATCAAAAGCAAAATGTTTTAACCACCTACCATCTGTTAAGACCATCATTTTGTGCCATTTCAGTTCTGCCTCCTTCATACTCTCTCTCATTTTGGGTATCACTAGAGAAGCCATATCTATTCATGGATTCTGGACAAGTTAAGCTGGGATACGTTTAGTTTGAATTTAGTAGGATATAGTTATGTAGTTTCCAGTCACTTCTGCATTACAATGAGAACATCAACACTTAAGTGATATCAATGCCAAGAACATTTACAATTATTCATAGAACAAGAAAATTCTAAGTTCCCTGATACCTTGCAGCTCACATATGAAATAAATTGGATAGAATTTTCCCAAATTTGATAACAGTCCAACATGCTTACATGCCATTACTAATAATAAATTAGAAACTGAAAGATACTTTTCTAAACTAGGAATAATGAGAAACAAATTTGATCAATAATGCTGGAGGAAAGACTGAATAATATTTCTATTCTCTCTATAGAAAAAACAATAAGATCATGCAAGTATGCAGTCAAAAATGTAGGAACTAAAAGGTGGGCATTTCATTAATAAAAAATATTGTCTTATTACTGAATAATGCTAAATAATACTATCCAGCATTTCTAAATTTGAAATTTGTTGTGATTCCTGTTCTCATTCTAAATAAATTTTCACTTTTCCCTTAGTTTTGTATGTGTAATATTGCATTCTTTTTCCTTAGGAGAACTCCCCCAAAACTTAGCTCCTGCACACCATGAGCATCTCCATCAGTCCTAATTAGAACCCCCTCTTTGTCCCATCCATTGAGACCATATCTGACCCTTCACTAAGAAAGTGTCACATAGTGGTCAAGGGATATACTCTGGGAGTAGACAACCTGGGTTCAAATCTCAACACCAACATCTGAGACCTTGGGAAACTTTATCCGTCTGAGCCTCAGTTTCCTCTTCCATAAAGTAGAGTAGGAACTATAGTACTATAATTGTATGATACTTGCCCTAGAGCATGTTTATGAGGAGTAAATGTGCTCATCTATGAAAAGCACTAGGAATGGGCTCTAAGAATACTATAAGTCTATTTAAGGATTTACTACTGTTATTACTCTGCACATAAACTTACGAATGTCAAACGTCAATTACATACAAAGCTCACGTTTCCCCCTTCCAAGAGATCTTTCCTGATCCAGTTCTGTACATGATACATCTTTTCCTCTGGCTCCTACAGGGATCATCATCCATACAGCCATACACACATTCAATGCTTGGCATATTCTCACCTGACCTGCCATTTTGCTATCTAATCTTTTTTATAGAAGCATATTAACTCCTCAATTAAATCGCAAGTTCCTTAAGAACATGTACTGTGTATTGTGCTTCAGTATATTCCTCCAAGTAGCTAGTTCAGTGTCTTGTGCATATGTGTGTATGCATATATACATTTTAGTATGCATATATATACACTGACATATATGTACATGTGTGTATGTGAGTGTGAGGAGAAAGAGAAAGACTCAGTTTTCTTGCTTCTGCACCAGAATAGTGTTTCCTAGTGGCTGAGAAGAGCCTTGACCCAATTACTGCAACTTGGGCTCCAATTTCTAATCCATTGAGGAAGAAATTGGAAATTCGATGACACAGCTCTGTGACTAACTCTTGCGGTTCATGCCAACTCATGGGGTTCTTCTTCACAACCTTACTTCTCTCTATGTTATCAACAAACAAAGCTGAATATTCCCTGTTTTCTCTACTGAATAAGAACTTGTGGGGTATCTGAATTGAGCTTTTGGGATCTCTCCGAAATCAAGAAAGTATCACTGAGGATTCATATCTGTGAAATCACTGACAGAAGATGACTTTTCATTTTCTAGTCCAGAGAATCAAGCCTTATTTTATAAGTGGAAGAATTAAAATTCTTGCACCAAACAAGAATGCTAAAATAACATCTTCAGAATTTTGGAAGACTTTATAGATCATCCAATCCAGCCCTTTTATTTTACAGTTAAGGAAAATGAGGCTTGATATTGCAGTGATTTGTACAAGTCCATGCAGGAAATGCCCCTTACAGCTAGGATGAGAACTTAGATCTCCTGATCCTACAATATTGTTTTTTCTAAACAGCCAGCCTGTGTCCAATGGCAACAGGCAGAGGGGATGAGTGGAAGGAAATACAGGCATCTCAAGATACTCAACACCATCTTGATAGGACCACAGTGTTTAATGCACTGTGATAAATGCAGTTATAGGTCAACAACTCTGGATGATATTTGGTCCATTAAATAAACTCTAGTGAAGTCACATTATATTTATCATGTATATGGGCAGAAAACCATGATATTCTGTTTACTTGTAGTTCTGAAAACTCTGCCTTCTTAAGGGAAGGATATGATTAATTTCTTCCCATCTAATTTGCAAAGCACATCACATACTCCTCTGGTTATTTCATTTCTAGTGTAGCATCCAGTATAGATTACTTTAGCTTGGGATACCAACCGTCCCCAACATAATACTGTGAAAAAAAGAGGCTTGCAAACTGGCAACCTGCTGAACCTGCTGAGCTGCCTGGGTGCATAGGCAGGTCAGGAGCCAGCAGTATCAGCAGCTCAGCAGCTCAGCACCCAGTAGCTTGTCTAATGAGAAGAGAAGGATAGAATGTTCCCAGTAAGGTAAATCCCAATGATCAAGAGAAACAAAGCCAACCTCCCATGCTCTACCTACTGTCCACATTCTGTCTTGTAGAAAACTGTGAATGCAGAAATGGAATGAAAGGAGGAATTAGTAACAAACTGGAGGGTTGACAGCCTTCAGGAAATGGTCTTTCCAAGAGTCTCTAACTTCTCCCAGAAACCAGGTACCTGTTTAGTATTAGTGGGGAAGGGGAGTCATGCAGAAGATTCCCATGCAAAGACAAACTAACTTGAGGGTAAAGTAAATATCATTTGAAAAACTCTTGGAAGGAACTTCCAAAGTCATTTTTTCCTAAAAAGGCTCTTGTTGAGAAGACATACATTAAAATGGAAAGATCAAGAAGCCGAGAATCTGAAAACAGGGGTTCTGGCCTTGGCCCTGTAACTGAGTAAGTATGTACTTCAAGCAAATCACATCTCACACCATGGGTCTCCATCCCCCCAACTGCAAAATAAGGGCGTGGAGTTTCACCAGTTGATCTCAGAGCTCCCTTCCAGAACTTGTGGTCAAATAATAGTACTCTCTTCAGAAGATGCTCAAATGTTTTCATGTATCCTCTTTCAAGTGCTCCTCCACAGCTTATTTTAAATGAGTAACTAACAGGGAAATTAACATTACTTATGGTGTCAGGAAAAATATTTAAGAAAGAGCCATAGGGCCCCCTGTCCTACAAAATTTAAAATAGTCCATTGCCAGAAATTCTGTCCCAGTGAGACCTCGCTTAACCACTGCCTGAATTGCTCCTTCCAGCTCCTTCTAGCTCCTTCTAGCTCCTCATTGCTCCTTCTAACCCATTCATGGTTATGGTTTCTTATGAGAGTTTCTTCAGGTTTCTTATGGGAGATGTTTCTTATGGGAGTTTCTTCAGGTTTCTATCAGGTTTCTTATGGGAGATGCTATTGCCATTTTGGATGGGACAATGCGTCATTATGCCAGGCCATTCCTAGGCCCTATCTCTTTAGAGGCCCTACCTCTAAATGCCACGAATACCTCCTGGTCATTGTGGCAACCCTTACGACCCCCACATTTTCAAGTGCCCCCAGGAAATGGTACCACCCTGGTTATGAACAACTGAAACATTCACTATCAGAAGATATAGAACAAAGTATTTATTACTCTTAAATCACTTGAGCCTCATTGCATCTCAGGAACTCATGGGAAAAGGCTGAGAGACAAACAATGTGTAGCTATTGGCTAAAGTGGGTTTTGGTTAGCTGTAGTTGTAATTAACTTCTGGCTGGGCCAGTCACTCTATCACCATCTTTGCCCTATACTTCAGCTCTCTGGTAACTGAGAGCTGGTAGCTGATGGATTTTTTTGTCCATTTGCTTTCCCCACCAGCTCATCCTCCACTCCTTCCCCTTTTCTTACCTGGTACAACGTCCTACATGACTCTGTGGGCAAAAGAAACACCAAGCAGTACAGCAAAAGTGTATGAGTCATTGTCTTCCACACAGCTGACTTTCTTGTTTCTACAAGAATAAATAAAAAGGCAAAATGTCTCCAATTTGAAGCTTTCATAGGCTCCATGCCACTGCAGACCCAATCAGTTCACCTATGAGACTGGGCAGTCTTCCTCTTCCATGCTGCCTACTCAGACCTTTCTGCTCCAGAGGCAGTGTCCTGTGACCTCCCATTAACTTCGTTCTCTAGGAGGCTGCAGTGAGAGCACAGGCAGCATTGGGAGACAGAGGCAATTGCTGAGATATCCCCCACCCTCTACTGTTAGCTTGCACGTCACTCCTAACATGAGAACCCCTCCAAAGGAAGCTACTGCCTGCCAGATTTCACCTTGCCCACATGGATATAATACATAACAGCCTGTATTCAGGGAGCAGGAATGATGCTTCAGTCTCTGGGTTACGCAGGGCTGAGAAGTCTGTGAATGGCTACAGTAGAAGATGAGCTGGGGTTCCTATGGGCAAACTCAGCCTAGAAATATCTTTTGAAGGGGCTTGGCCTATTATTCCTCACTCCCACCTAACTCTGGAGCCGTATGTTCATAGGTAACTGGTGATTTCTTCAAAACCGATCTTCAGCATGGTCTGTTATTGTTATTTCTACCAGGACTGATATCAAAACTAAACTGATTCCTCGACACCTAAAACAGTGCTTGACACATGGTTGGCACAGAGTATATTCAGTAAAGAAAGAGGAAGGTAGGGAGGAGGGATGGAGGGGAGGTGGGTGGGAAGTGCTCATAATTTGCATCAGAGTCTGTGCTCTACAGAGGACTTACCTAAGCTAAGAAATTTAGTATTATACTTTAATAATGTTAATATATTTTATCTTGAGTTGAGATCATCCTTGAAAGTGATTTGCTGTTTCTTCATTTTTAGTTAAAAGGATTCAGAAGACTTGAATGTAATCCACAAAGGCCAGAAGCAATCACAATGGTTTATATTTGCTATTTGACCATTTTTAGCCAAGAAGAACTCTAGCCCAATCATGCATAATTCCATAGGAAACAATGTCATTATTTGAAAGACTAGGCAAAATTCATTTTCCAATCATGTTTCCTCCATCGAAATACTTGTCTAGCTAAAATTCCACTGAAATTCAGTGATTATTTAAAATATTTTGTATTGCCTATCTCAGCCTAGTATTAATACAGCTGTCCAAACATTTGTAGTTCTTACTCAAAGAGGCTACTTTGTTACTCATCACTTTAAATGTATTTTGTAGCAATACAGACGGACGCACAATTTCAAGTAAAATTGCCAGCCATAGTTTCATCCTTTATTCCTACCTAAGTTATTCAAACACATGAAAATTATGGTATAAAAATCATCAAACTGACCTATCAGAATCATCACCAATGCAATTACTGCTTTGGGCAAAATATTCAAAATTGGAAAAAATTGAAGCCATTGATGAATTTAATGACATAATGCTCATGAAACTTAAGGATGACTCCATGTTTTTCTGAATCAAGTTGATTTTATCTTTCAAAACTCTCCTCATACAGAATGTTCTTTTTCTTAATTAAAACTAATTCTAAAAAATGATTTAGGGGATGACACAAGACAACAAACTTTCATAATGTTAGCACTACTCAGCACGGAAGCTCAAGTAGATATTTTTTTAAAAAAGGTGTATGATCAGCTGAGTTCTGCAAATCAGGATGAAACTCATTCTATTTGCTTCAAATTTTAATGTAATATGTTGAAAATCTGTTTATTAAATTGCCATTTTGCTTTGCATTTTAAATATAGTTGTTATAATTTTTATCAAAAATGCTTTTGATTATTACTAAAATTATACTTCCGTTGTGTCCAAATGAGGGCTTTGTGATCTCCGTGGAAGTGACCTTCATTATACTTTGCAATATGGCCTTTTTTGATAGTTATGCTGCTGCACAGAGCCCAGAAGTTTTTAACATTTTCTTTACTTCCCAAGTCTACCTTGCAATAAAATAACTGAGGACCACAACTCTGACATGCTGTCTTTTTCCATGTTTCAGCAACAGTGTGATTTTAATTTTTAGCGTGTTTTTCAGCTTTATCTAATTTCTTTTAACTGGAAGAAACATTTCTTAAAGTTGACCTTTTAAAAAACTTAGCCGATAAAACTGATTGCCCTTTAAATTAAGTAGCGTGTTTTAATCTGGGCTTGAATGAAATTATTTTTCTTTCAGAGTTGTTGACATTAAACCATAGTCATTAGCTTTTTTTCTAGTTCTATGAAGCAGAAAGTGTAGTGGTAAAACAGTAGTGTGACTCTAATCTTTTGACCACCCACCTCCTATCCGCCAGAGCCTCTGTCCTCATTTTCTTGTGAAAAGCTACAGGCATCTAGTGGTTCTGACCTCCCTCCCCCGGGTGAGCAGGGGTAACTCTAGTATAACTCTTGCCTCTCAAACAAATGTTTGAAATGTTGGTTACCCACGTCCTAAGCTAAAAAATTCATTATAGACATTTATTTCAGAAAAGGCTTACCCGTCAAGAACATACAACCTAAAAATAAGTCACTTCATGTGATTCATATTAAAAAAAAAAACCCAATTTCATTAGTATTGCAATTTCCTATGGTGAAATGTGCCAAATACAAAAGTATTAGATATTTTTTAAAATAAAAATTAAGAAACTGTTTTCCCTCTCCCTGATTTAGAAAAAAGAAAAAAATGTGGGGTGGGGGGAGGGGAACAAAAAAGGAACAGCAAAGTATACTAGTAAGATGGCTAGATCTACAAAGAAATAACCTTTCCAACCCTCCAACCCATTCTCTGCTGTCTGCTTTCCAAACCTGAAGAAGCCACTTAAGACGTTAATCTATACGTTTGTTCAACAAACAAAAAATGAGCCCCTTATGTCTGAGCGATGTCCTAGCAGTTAGAACAAGGATGGCTTCTTTCCCACAGTCCCTCACAACTCTGGGAATTCACAGTATGACAGATCTGATGCACACCCGGGGGCTCTGGGAACTCGGACTGGGGCTTTCTCCCTAGAGACTGTAAGACTCTAAGAATCAAAGCCGATCGAATCAACATGACAGGAAGCATTCCAAAATTCCAGATTCCACAGATCGAGTCTCATCTTTGTGAGCAACTTAATTTCAGAATATCTCTTCTTGTTTCTATATAGAATTTCTTCTTCTAAAAGCCATACAGTTGACTAACTACAGGCCCAACTTCCTAATGTAAGACAAAACAGGCAAAAGGAAAACATGTGAACTGCAGGCTGGGACATGTTCAGTGTTTGGCTCCTTTAGAAAAAAAAAAAATGCTTGACTGAAATACACACACACACACAGAGCAATGGAGACAAGCAATTTTACAAGACAATTTTGAAAATAAATTTTTAAAACCGCACCTCTGACTTAAGAAAAAAAACGTATTGAACTAGAAGTCACAAATCACAGTAATCAAAAAGATAAACAAAACTCCAGACAGAACTTTATCAGCCAACCAGAAGGATTTCAATCACCAGCTTGGTCAGCTGATAGTCTGCGGCTGCTACTTGCATAATTAGACTTTGTAATGAATTACTGAGACGTCAAGTGAGATTTCACAAAGTGTTGTAGAAGTTCCCAGACAGACTGTGGGTATACACTTCAGATGATCTCAGGGGTGGAAGATTTCACAGCGTCTGTCATTAACCACCCCACTGCTTTCCCTTTAGTTAATGACCAGTCCATTCCTCCTGCCTGAATACAGATATTATGGAAGGGAAAAAAAGAATAAAGCAAACAGTTATTGTCTGTTTACTCTTTAGGATTTGAACTCAGGTCTGTACCTTTTTTTTTAAGTATGTCATGTGGCTTTTCTAAAATAAGAAAGGGCTGATCTTTGGTTTGTTTGTTTGGGGGTTTTTTTGTTTGTTTTGTGTTTTTGTTTTTTTTGTTTTTTGTTTTTTTTTTGAGACTGAGTTTTGCTCTGTCACCCAGGCTGGAGTGCAGTGGAGCAATCTTGGTGAAAGAGCTGATCTTTGAATGGAGTTTAATTTTTTCAGAGCATTTCCACACGCTGGCATGCCTAGGAGATATTGAGATATTGTAAGTTCAGTTCCAGACCACCGTAATAATGTAAGATTGCAATAAAGCAAGTCGAAATAATTTTTCAGTTCCCTAGTGCATGTAAAAGTTGCGAGTACACTACACTGTTGTCTATTAAATGTGCAATAATAGCATTATGTCTGAAAAATGTACATACCTTTATTAAAAATATTTTATTGCTAAAAATTGCTAACAATTATCTGAGACTTCAGCAAGTCCCAATCTTTCTCCTGGTGGAAAGTCTTGCCTTAATGTTGATGGCTGCTAACTGATCAGAGTGGTGGTTGCTCAAGACTGGGGTGGCTAAAGCAATTTCTTAAAATACGACTGCAATGAAATTTGCCACATTGATTGACTCTTCTTTTCATGAAAGATTTCTCCGTAGCATGTTATGTTGTTTGATAGCAGTAGAACTTCTTTTAAAATTGGAGTCAGTCCTCTCAAATCCACCTGCTGCCTTATCAACTAATAATGTAATACTCTAAATCCTTCGTTGTCATTTCAACAATGTTTATGGGATCTTCACCAGGAGTAGAGTCCACCTCAAGAAACTGCTTCCTTGCCTAATCCATAACAAGCAACTTCTCATTCATTAAAGTGTTTTCATGAGATCGCAGCAATTCAGTTACATCTTCAGGCTTCATTTCTAATTCTAGTTTTCTTGTTATTTTCACCACATTTACCGTTACTCCCTCCACTGAAGTCTTAAACACTCATGAGGGTCAGAATCGACTTGTTTCAAACTCCAATTAATGTTGATATTTCCACTTCCTCCCATGTTCTTAATGGCATCTAAAATGACAAATCCACCAGGTGCGGTGGCTCATGCCTGTAATCCCAGCACTTTGGGAGGCCAAGCGGGCAGATCACCAGAGGTCAGGAGTTCGAGACCAGGCTGGCCAACATGGTGAAACCCTGTCTTTGTTGGGAAAAAAAAAAATTAGCCGGGTGTGGTTGTGGGTGTAATCCCAGTTA